CCCCCCACACACACACACACTCTCGCTCCCCGGCTTATCTCTCTCTCTCAGGCCGTTGCCTGTGACGGAAGTACATGGGGATAACATCGAACAAGCGTGTCCTCCTCGCTTTGCATATCACGACCAGAACGAGGCGAGCTTACCTATTGGGTGAATATTTGATGAGCACGGTTAGGTTAGAAAATAGAAATGCCGGTTCGCTTGTGGTGGCCAGAAGAATATCGCAAAACGGGTTGCTCTTCATTTTAGAGGACGCGACATGTTTTAGAAGCTGAATAATAATTTCTTTTCAGTCCGCACAATATCTGCCCACTCCCACTCAAGTCAGTCCGTCGCGTTTTCCTGTATTCTGTGGCTTGCAAACGCCAAAATAGCACGCCGGGCGGGGATCTGGGGTCTGGGGGTCGTGTCAAACTACGTGGATAAACCAGTCGCGACAGGCCGTGGGTAGCTGGGTGATATTCGTCATTTCGCGCACACACCTTACGCGTAACGCACTAGGACGCTAAAAAAGTTGAGTTGAAAACTCGGAAACCCGCAGAACAAGTTCTTAACTATGCTGAGCTCGGCTTCTTTCAAATAACAAGACGAGCTGAGGTAGAAGGAAATTCTCCACCCACCCCTCCCCTTTCCCTCTTCCCCTCCCCCCTCCACCCCTCTCTATTTCCCCGGCTGAAATGGTTATGTTTTGATGGGGTGCGCTCAAGGCTTTGGAGGGGGGGGGGGGGTAACGCCCACTTTTCTATATCATTGTCGTCGCCGCGACCTTTGCGTCTTTGGAGAGTTGGGCTGGGGGTGGCTGGTGGGTGCTCTGGTGTGGTTTGCTCCTTCTTTCCTGTCAAACATCTATCGTCCTTCTATCTCCTCCTTCTGCTTTTTATGCGTTACTCTCTAGAATCTAGTAACTTCTCCAATCTTTGTCACTTCTATGACCAACGTAATTTGCAAGTGCTGTAAAATTAAAAAAAAACAACAACAACAAAAACAGCTACGGAAAAAAAGGCGAAATAATGTAGACCTTGAGGATGGGATGTTCCTGTGAATTAAGGGATCTGTGCTGTATGATAAAATGTTAAGGGTGAGGGGAAGGGGAGGGCG